ATCTTTTTGAAAATGGCAGAATAAGAAATTATTTATTATATGTAGATTTTCTTATAATAAGATTTATTTTCTTTAATATTTTTAAGCAATAGATATACATATAATCTGAGTAGTTAAATAACTTTGAACTGAATTAAGTTATGCTGGTAAAACTCTGCTATTATATAAATGATGATCTTCTCTTTGAAGCCTCTCAACTCTTAGAATTGATCAATATTTACTAGTAACTAAACTGATAGAGGTAAAAGAAAAACTAATATGGCTAAGGCAACTTCTTCACTTGTGTTCCCCATCATCTTCCTTGTTATTTTTTGTTTAGGTATAAGTTAATCTCATGTTTTATTCATAAAACATATTCAGTTTCTTTTTTTTTTTTATCTTTCAAATAATAATAATCTTGGTATAAAAATGGTCTTGTTTGATATAGTTGAGCAGAATATGGGTTGTGAAGCGGCTTTCTGGCTTTGTGATAGTCACTGCGGATCAAAATGCATCGCTAACTTTGGACCAAAAGCAACATGGCATTGTGAAAGAGAGACTAATAATTGTATTTGTACCTTTCCTTGCCCTACAGTTGATAAAACTCATATTTGACTTTAAGGGTATTGCGATATATTAAAAATTATGTAAGCATAAAATATGTCCTTTATAATATACTATTTCCGTTTCCTTTTATTTGTCATTTTAAATTTTTACACACAAATTAAAAAATTTAATTTTGCATATTTTCTATATGAAAATATAATTACCTATAAATTTAACCACATTTCAACCAATAGAAAAATAGAATATCATATGAAGTTTAATAAATTTTATCTTGAAATATAAAACGACAATTATCTTAAAACGAAATTTCTCTTTCCAATGACAAATAAATTGGAACGGATTGATCGCGAAATTTATTTTCGAGAGTTTCAATTTCAATGTCTCAGATTCTTTTAGAAACTCAATTTCAACAACATTGGAGGCAACACAAGATTGGAAGAGAATTTTATGAAGTAAATTTAGTTTTTAAAATATATAAAATGAAATATTTAGTTAAAATATATTTACAATGTTTTTTGACAAAACTTTTATTTTTGTTAAATTTTTAATTTAATTCAAATAATTAGTTCAACTTCTGATAATTGTTCTGTGTAACAGTAAAACGATGATAGAGATTGTGAATCAAAGTAGAAAACAATGAATCACTTCTTATTAGCCAAGCATATACTTTGAAAAAACAACTCAACAGCTTAACAAGACGAAATGTATTTCCAGAGAAAATACAAGAGATTACAACAACTTTTTCAATTTAAAACTCTGAAAATGATCTCCTTCTCCCTTATAACTCTGTTTCTCAGCTCTTCCAATGATCCTAACTACCATTTGTAACTTCCTGCTCGATGTTAGACACGCGTCCTCGACTAACAACCCCCTCTTCAGCTGAAATGTGTCCTTAATACACATTTCCTATATCAAATCTTCCCCAACCGAAGAACCTTGTCCACATGGTTCAAAAGTAGAGAAGCGTTTCTGCAACTCGTAAATATAGTCCCAAGTAGCTTCTTCCTCACCAAGGTTCAACCACTTAACCAAAACCTGAGTTGCAGCCTTGCCTTTCCGCTTCACCATCTTGCGTGAAAGTCTCTTCTCAGGATGCTTTGCCAACACGTCAGAAAGAACAGTAGGAAGCTGAGTTGTAGTCGGAACATTACCTACCAATACTTTCAGCTGGGACAGATGAAAGACTGGATGAATCAATGATAAACTTGATAACCTGAGCTTATAGGCCACTTCTCCACATCGATCTATAATCTCATAAGGGCCAAAGTATTTAGGAGATAGTGTAGCTGAAATGCACATAAGGGCCAAAGGCAACAAAGTGTAGCTGAAACGCACATTAAAAAAAAAAACTTTATCAACATCGAAAACCAAAGGTGGAGACTTTTAAGGATACTTTACTGGAAGAAAGACTGTAGAAAGAGGAGTACGGCGGAGGAGGCTGAGCAACTTCAGGATCACGGATGGATCCTTCTGAGTGGTTTGCGATAGGCTTATCTGCTTCAAGGCTTATCTGATGTGCCACAACAAAGCGGCTCTGACTCAAGTGCTCTCTCCAATGGTGAAAAACCTGCTGCAGAGAGTCACTCAGAGACTGAAGGAACAGAGAACTTCTAACAGATTTTTAGGTCTTTAAAAGAATAAAACTACTTTAACTCAAAAGCACACTTACCCTTCTACCGGAAATTCATTGTAAGTTGAAGTGAAGCTAGCAACAATTACAACATCATTATCTTACATTTTGTTCTCTTTGTAACTATCTTATATTGGTTAGCTAGAATCTATAACACTGATTGTGTAAGAAGAGGAGGGGATAGTTGCAAAGGTTACGTTTTGGCGTCAAACCATTACTGATTTGAAGGAGACTCATCTGTGGTATGTGGAAGCTTTATTTCAAATAGATGAAGCTATGATTCCAGTGGTACATTGACAGATAAATCACCTGTGGGAATTTGATGAGTCAAAAATCAACATGAGTCTCCGTTCCAAAAGTCTAACGTAGATGACACAGAGATTAATTTAGAATCTGATGGAAACTACATATACTTGTCGATTTAGGATGAGATCAGAAGAAAAAAAACTGGCGTTGGCTGAGAAGATTAGTTTTCCCTCTTTGGTTGATCCGCTTCGGCGAAGGAGCCACTGACTTCGCATGTACGTTTCAGAGAAATCGAATTGAGATAGAAGAAGAAAAAATCGAATCGCCAAAGAAAAGGAAGAAATAAGAAACGAAGATATAGTTTACGAAAATGACGGCATTTTAGGGTTAGGCTCTAATAAGTACAATCGAAACATAAGGTAAAAGGGGAGATCTATAAATACAAAGTTGGAGAGGAAGGTGAAGGGTGGAATCCATTGAATTTGAGGAAGTAAAGGATTGATTAGATTGAAACAGAAAATTGATTAGAACAGAGAGGGTGTAAGATTAATGGGAGAAACCGAAGAGAGGTACTTGCAGAGGAGGGAGTCGAAAGGTGAGAGAGGAGCTGGAGTGTTTGGAAATCGGATTATGTTTGCCGACTGAAGACCAAACCGGTGTTAACCGTGACATTAGAATCTCGTTCAGAACCGNAAGGATTGATTAGATTGAAACAGAAAATTGATTAGAACAGAGAGGGTGTAAGATTAATGGGAGAAACCGAAGAGAGGTACTTGCAGAGGAGGGAGTCGAAAGGTGAGAGAGGAGCTGGAGTGTTTGGAAATCGGATTATGTTTGCCGACTGAAGACCAAACCGGTGTTAACCGTGACATTAGAATCTCGTTCAGAACCGATTTCAAAACCGGTTTGTAATATCCAAACGAAAGTTGTTTTAAACACTCCCATTGGCTAAATATTTCTGCCCACGTGGACAGGTTCATTTGGCTTTATTTGTCACTTTTATTCATTGTAGATTGGTGTTGGTCTGATCAAATTAAGTGACAACCGAATGAGTTTTAATTAATAAATCGGAGATTAGTAAGAGTGTGAACATAGAACAATAGAGATATTTTTAAAATTATGTCGGATGAAATAGTTAGACCAGTGGCATTTCATGTAAATTTTCTAATAATGAAAGAGATTTAAATAACTTGGCTGAGAGAGATTATGAGCTTGACATGTCAGCAAGATGGCACACTTGTAATTAAAGTACAAAATAAAGGTTACTCCTTAATAATGTTTCTCTATGAATAAGAAAGGGATACATAAGTGTTGCAAAGTCATAATATTGAGTGGCAAAATAAGAGTATTAAATAGGAAAAAATGTAAGTAATAGTAGTAATAAATAAAATGTAGATAATACTGAATAACAGAATTGATGACAAGAGATCCAATATATAATGAGATTAGAAATATAAGAAAAGTAAAATGGTGTACAGATAAGCAAGAAATAAAAAATAAAACCAAAGATAACAAAACATATCAAACTTAATTAAAAACATTTAAACACAATAAGTAAGATGAAAAGAGTAAATATAATTAGTGAGATTCCCATTCAAACAATGAGATGTATATTAAATTGTCAATATTGGAAGATTTTTTTGGTTACTTTTTAATCTTTTTGAAAATGGCAGAATAAGAAATTATTTATTATATGTAGATTTTCTTATAATAAGATTTATTTTCTTTAATATTTTTAAGCAATAGATATACATATAATCTGAGTAGTTAAATAACTTTGAACTGAATTAAGTTATGCTGGTAAAACTCTGCTATTATATAAATGATGATCTTCTCTTTGAAGCCTCTCAACTNATCTTTTTGAAAATGGCAGAATAAGAAATTATTTATTATATGTAGATTTTCTTATAATAAGATTTATTTTCTTTAATATTTTTAAGCAATAGATATACATATAATCTGAGTAGTTAAATAACTTTGAACTGAATTAAGTTATGCTGGTAAAACTCTGCTATTATATAAATGATGATCTTCTCTTTGAAGCCTCTCAACTTTTAGAATTGATCAATATTTACTAGTAACTAAACTGATAGAGGTAAAAGAAAAACTAATATGGCTAAGGCAACTTCTTCACTTGTGTTCCCCATCATCTTCCTTGTTATTTTTTGTTTAGGTATAAGTTAATCTCATGTTTTATTCATAAAACATATTCAGTTTCTTTTTTTTTTATCTTTCAAATAATAATAATCTTGGTATAAAAATGGTCTTGTTTGATATAGTTGAGCAGAATATGGGTTGTGAAGCGGCTTTCTGGCTTTGTGATAGTCACTGCGGATCAAAATGCATCGCTAACTTTGGACCAAAAGCAACATGGCATTGTGAAAGAGAGACTAATAATTGTATTTGTACCTTTCCTTGCCCTACAGTTGATAAAACTCATATTTGACTTTAAGGGTATTTCGATATATTAAAAAATTATGTAAGCATAAAATATGTCCTTTATAATATACTATTTCCGTTTCCTTTTATTTGTCATTTTAAATTTTTACACACAAATTAAAAAATTTAATTTTGCATATTTTCTATATGAAAATATAATTACCTATAAATTTAACCACATTTCAACCAATAGAAAAATAGAATATCATATGAAGTTTAATAAATTTTATCTTGAAATATAAAACGACAATTATCTTAAAATGAAATTTCTCTTTCCAATGACAAATAAATTGGAACGGATTGATCGCGAAATTTATTTTCGAGAGTTTCAATTTCAATGTCTCAGATTCTTTTAGAAACTCAATTTCAACAACATTGGAGGCAACACAAGATTGGAAGAGAATTTTATGAAGTAAATTTAGTTTTTAAAATATATAAAATGAAATATTTAGTTAAAATATATTTACAATGTTTTTTGACAAAAGTTTTATTTTTGTTAAATTTTTAATTTAATTCAAATAATTAGTTCAACTTCTGATAATTGTTCCGTGTAACAGTAAAACGATGATAGAGATTGTGAATCAAAGTAGAAAACAATGAATCACTTCTTATTAGCCAAGCATATACTTTGAAAAAACAACTCAACAGCTTAACAAGACGAAATGTATTTCCAGAGAAAATACAAGAGATTACAACAACTTTTTCAATTTAAAACTCTGAAAATGATCTCCTT